CGTCTGCGGTGAAATTACGGAATTTAAGCGGCCTACATACCGTCATAATACTTGGCACAGTAATACGGCCATTCTGTAGTGAAAGTACGGCATATATACGGCCATATACAGCGAAAATACGGTACCGTAAACGATACTGTATTACTGTGTCGAGTATTCTGAGAATATACGGTTGTTTTACTGTCGTAAGGTGGCCGTTTCGCACCGTTTTCTGGCGGAAAGCAGACCGTACACGATATTCGTTTTGATCGACCTAGGTTGGTATCGATACGAATGGTGCCGCATTTGCATAATACACAGGAGCTCTACATACAATTCAAAAATAAAGCCTCCAACATAGTTCTTTGAGATGAAAAAGGATGGCCGATTTTCAATTGAAAACAATAATGGTATACAAAGCTTTTCTTTTCTTGTAGATTATTTATAAAAAAATCTGATCTAACTCTGGCATGGCAAACCGACCACATACATCAGTGAGTCGAGTTAAAAAGAGCATTTCATTGAACATCGGACGCAGAAAGGTACATGATATTCTAATGAGTGAAGTATCAAGAATGCCAAAAGTTACAAGAGTGTCTCTTCATCAATCACTTAAAAATCAAGTAGGATAATTTAATATTACTCTTCAAACACTTTTCTATTTAGAAAGTATCTCAGTCAGCAAAAATTAATGTTCAGCATGTTCATGTTACTCGTAAAGCTCGTTCAGCATCAAATAGCATTCGTGATAGTGTTCAGAAGCCAGTAGAAGATAATAGCAATCTGCGGCCGGTTAAATTTTTTTTATTTCATTCATTTTACATATTTATTTCTGTATTTTTCTTAAAGGCTTCTACCATTTTTTCTCATGCTAGTGAAGAGAATCCAATGAAACAAGAATCTACGTTGACGACTCCATTCACTACCGTTACCACCGTGCAAGAAGGCAAGCCACGCCCGCTTTCGTTATCAGAAGTAAGTCGATGCAAATTTCATGTACGATTCAAAGTAACTATCAAAAGAGAACAACTAATTATGACATATTGGTACCAAGAGCAGTTTTAGAAACAATAATTTTAGAGAAATGCTGTTGACGAAAGAGGATGTCATTTTTTGTACTCCAGTAGATCTGAAAAATTTAATGATCGAAACTTAAAAATATGTTTTTATCGTTCTGCTCGAGTTTCATTGCATTCAGCAGTCATCGAATATCGTGTACTTGGAAAAACGTTCCCATCGTTGACTAAAACTCAACTGCTGTGATCTATTGTGACCAGGTGTCCACAATCAAAATTTGAGCCACTTAAGCTCTCTCGCTTCCTTTTTCTAAAGTGTCTGGAGAATGATTCATCAGAAAAACTTGAAAACTTCACAGCACGTAGAGCTAGATGAGTAGAACGAAATTTATCTTGCACTCTATATTCAGAAATGCTTTCTTCTAATAAATACAATTGTGAAAAAGTCCGAAAATCATTCTGCTTTTTCCGTTGCCGTACGAGTCCCACACAATTTCTAGTAACAATATAAAATATTTCACCTAGATGAAGCATATTGTATTGAGAAAGTGAAGATAGTTTCGAATGTTTTACGTGTAAAACTAGATTTTGAGAAAAAGGATTAAAAACATCCCGTACTTCCCTACGGTCTCTTTTTTCAACTGTATTCATTGAATACTTGCCAAGTCTATTTAGGTTAGAGATTCATGACTTATGTTCCACAAGTATATCTATGAAATAAGAAGTAATCATCATCGTCAGAAGAATTGAAAATGCAATAGAATAATCGTAGAACGAATTTTCTACTAGCGAGTTTGAACTTTTGAGTTTCAAAAAGTGTACTAATTAATGCAGAGAATCTCTCATTTATTTGGCATTTGAAAAAGGATACTTGGAGGCTATATTTCCAAAGAAAAACTCAATAATTGGATAAATTTTGATTTTTCAGTAATGAAAGTCGAGAAGTTCCTCGGAAAGAGAGAAAGTTTACATAAAGAATACTTTCCATCGCTCTAAGTTCATCGAAATTTTAAAATATTTTTGAGAGTAAAGCTGTTGACAACAAAGGTCTTAATTGTTCGCTTTAATTTTTTTTGTTCAAACTTGTGCAGTAAGAGGTATTCGAGTGACTCTCGGTTTTTATTCAATGTCATCATTGAAAACATTGCTTCTCGCTTGAGTCCACAACTATAACAGGACTATTCCCACATTCTGAATGATCAAATGATCATCATAAATTATTAGCTTTTGAGTTCTTCATAAATGTCAAGTTTCTCAAACAAGACTGGTTTCAGTATAATCGAGAGCAAAAAGAACTAATCGATGAGATTAATTCAACTTAGAAGTTTTTTTTTCCATCATCGAAACTTTTAAAATAAAGGTAGTCTTGGGATCCGTAATAGATTATGAAAATAAGATGTATCGTTATTTTGGATTCGATATTTTGACAACCTCAAGAATTTTAGTCGGAATGAGGAACAAAACTCCTCAACTCTATTGTGAAGCAAATGTATCAACAGTTTTAAAAATTATTCACAGTGCACCGTTGCCTTCTCCATTTGTTTTTTCGATTTTTTTCTTTCTCTCCGAATACAACATAACGTAGTTATGATGTAAACATTTCTCTTCTGTTGAATATAATGAAATTTATTAAAACAAAGTGAATTTATTATTCATTCATAATGACAATTGATTCAAGTATTCACTAAAAAATAAATAATAATCAAAATTATATATTTAAAAAAATCCAGCTACAATAGATGCCACCGATAAGCATAAGTTCATCTCACTTTAAAGGTTTCTGTTTCATTCATCTATTCCAAACAAGCTTTGTAACCATCAATATATATATTGTAATTTTCTGTTCTACTAAAATATAAATTAGAGGTTGAGATTTCACAAAAGAAATTACACGGAAAATATTTTTAAATCAGAAAATAACTTGAGAGATCCGAATAGCACTCACTCCAAAGTCTGAGAACTCTACTTACTAGGAATGATCATAGTTATGCCACTTACAAGCATCGATCTCCTAGATCGATGACTATAGGTACCCCTTTTCAACCCATCGTAAGATTGACAGTACGTGAACAATTATTAGCTATAGAAACGCATCGGATACCTCAAATCGATGTCTCGACATGTACATCCACTAGTAGCTTGATTAGACTCATCTACTCACAAGATGACGTTATCTATTACTCTGACTTTCTTATGTATGGGATAGTGATGAAATATAAATTTGTTTGTTTGATATTTTACTTCATAGTCAAAAGAAAATAAATACAAATATGTCAATGTTTACTCGGTAAATTCAATCAACAACAGAAATGTTGAACTAAAACTTGATCCTAAGCGATCGAAATTATTCGAAACGCAGTCTGCAAAAGATTATCGAGTAACTTCTAAATTTATTTTTCCTCGATTTAATAATATTAAAAAAATTCCTTTTTCCCGTAGAGTACGATCAATGGAAATTCGAATTCAATTGATGGTCTCCGTACTGTTAAAGTAAAATTTTCGATTTGGTTATTTTTCTTCATTTGCATGTATTTGATTTAAATTAGTTGAAGCCGTGTCCAGCTCAAAAAGAATCGAACAAAAAAATTCGTCGAAAATACAGAAGAAGAGGAGGGCAAATATTTTATTCTATTCTCTTTATGAGTAATATATTTTTTAAAATGTTTTATTCAGATTTCTCAAGTGTTGTTGGTGTTCATGTTCACCTTACTGTATATGTTTGGCGACAATTGGTTTGATTTTGCTTGGTGCCATCATTGCTATAATTCTTACTGTTATATTACCGTCAAAGCCAACAACAACCAGTAAGATTATGAGCTCATTTTTCACTCGTTTTTATACTTACAAATTTACAAAGATATTTGAATCTATCAGAAAAATAT